AGAGAGAGAGAGAGAGAGAGAGAGAGAGAGAGAGAGAGAGAGAGAGAGAGAGAGAGAGAGGGCGTAAGGGGATATTTGTCTTGCCAAGTAAGGAGAAACTGAAACGCGAGCGGTGGTCTCTTGCTTAGGGATCGGCCCTAATTTAGTGCCCGCGTGAACGAATTAGTCACAAAACTACGTGTCCGCGCTTGAACCGAGAGAGCGAGAGAAAGAGAGGACAAAAAGAACAATATTTTGTCCGCGTGTTGGTTTTTCAAAGGATTAAATCGTTTTTCGTTATTTATCACGACCGCAATACGACACGTCGAAGATCAGAGAATTCGAGTTGAACGAGACAACTCGACATTATTTATCGATAGAGTAAATCCTCCCTCTCTTAGTTTTGAAAATAACATAAATCATCGTTGGAAAATCCGTAGTTCAGCTTGTCCAAGTTCTCAATTTTCACTCTCTCTCTCTCTCTCTCATCTGTCTCTTTCCAAAACGTAGAAGAAAACCAGAAATGTGTAAGAATTTATTTTGCGCGTTATGAAATTCGAAACGAAAACTTCGGGACGCCTTTGGCGCGATTCCGTCGCGCGTTCGGTGAATATAGATACTCTTTAAATTACGTTACATTTTTTATTCATTCAATTTCTCGCGTAAAATGACAATACTCGCGCAAGAGAGTATTTTATATTCATTAATTTTTTTCTAACAAGTGGAATCTTCCAGCAACGCGCGTCAAACGCGCGGAATTCGAGATCTCTCAGAGGAACGCGGCACACACGCCCACCGATCCGTGCTTGACAATATCCACACACATTCCGCCGCACGATACCCACCACCTCGTGCGGGGTTCGTCGTTTAGCGCCGGCGTTCATTTATTTCTGTATGGGATCGCAGATGCACGCGACGCGAAGAGGATCATCAAAGAACACCGCCCACTTCGGAAACGCGCGACAGACACGCCATGAGAGAGAGATATATCTGGTTCACAAAACCACCCCGGTTTTTTTTTAGAGGGGTTACCTACCTACTCAACTCGTCTGTGTGTTACCCAACACTTTGCAGTTTCATGTTTCCGAAACCAGGAGTTTGGGAATTATAGAAAATTATATGTGTGTCGCGCAATTAAGAAAACCAAAATGTTTTTACAGCCGAAAGATACGCGTAAAAAAAAAATTCGAACATTTCTTGTGTTACTCTATCGCATTTCAAAAAAGTTTTAATGTAAATAAAAGCGCCGTGTTGTTTTCTTAGGAGAGGAAAATAAAAAGGTGTTGCAATTCCTACAACAAGCAAAACTGAAGAACGAACAAACTTTATACCGTTTCTTTCGCAGACTATTATATTGAGTCTCTCTCTAACGCCCACAAATGACAATATTTATTAGATCGGTGCGGAAATAATTGCAATTTGTTTTATTTATTGTTAAATAAATGTAGGATTTGTGTTTAACAAACAAAAAAAATTGCAGTTAGCGCAGCGTCTAAACAATAAAAAGATAAAAAAAATATCTAATCTAAACAACGAAAGATAAAAAAAATTTGAATACGTTATCACCGAGTTGCGCGGCTTCTGCGCGTGAGAAAATGATACACATCCAAAAAACACACGACGGAGATAGAGGATGTATGCAGCGAGCTATGGAAAATTATTATTTCTCCCCCTGTCTCCGGATTCCACCGATTTCGAACAAAATGGCCAACACACGTTTTTCGTCGCGCGTTATCGCGATTCGCGACATTTAAAAAGGTCTGTCTCCCCGCAATTTGTCGGAGGACACGAACGTTGCGCGATTTTGATAATTCAAATCGTGAGAGTACGCGACGATCACTGTGAATTTATATCAAACGTGACGCGCGAAGTTGAAAAGTGACGCGAGTCACAAAATTATCGTTAAACGCGAAGGATATCGCTTGTAAATTTTGCGATAAAATTATGCCCAATCGATTGTTTACTATCTTTCGGAACGTAAAAATCTATATCAGTCACATTCGTACTTTTTGGATTTTTTTTCGCAAAAACAAAAAAAAAAAAAAAAGAAAGAAAACAATCACACACCTTCCTACGTCAACAGGGGGAATCGAATTATTATTCCGAGATCGCAGTTTTGTTTAAAATAAAAAAAAATTATTTATTTTCACGTGTTATTTATTTCGCGCGCATTTATCTATTTTTGATCACGGCGGCGACACCGACAGTAATCGAAGGGTATCCATCACGATTCCGATTCGAGCCGATTGATTTTTGATACAAAAAAGACACTCACTTGCACTTAGACTGGCCGCTGCGCTGATTTGCGTCGGCGTCGTAACCGGAGTGACGGTCTGTCGTCGCGACGGCGTGCCATATTGCGTGGTCAGTGGATCGCTCGTGACCGACGGGCTCGTGTAAGGCCAGGTGCTCACCTCGGCGACGGTTGTGTTCTGCTGAGACGACGAATACGGCGGACTGTATCCGCGAAAACTTGATCGACCGGCAAAAGGTTGCGTCGAGAACGCCGGCAATGATTGATGGGGCACCGTAGGCGACGACTTGGTGCTCCCGTAATCTTCAGAAATCGGCAATGCGCTACCAGTCAAAGCTGAAACATAGTCCGTCCGAGAGGGACCAGGTTACAAAAGAGAAAGACGTCCCCAGTCTACGGGGTGTCGTCTCGAAGAAGATACACAAGCGCTTTGATTACACGATCGAAAGTCTTATTCTTTTTTTTTTTTTTTTAGGGCAAAAGATATATTCGCATTTCTTTCAGTGAAAAGCATAAATAAGTACACAGTCGCCAACGAGAAGTAAGTCGCGACACAAATTAACCATATCGTCTCGACAAAAATTCAAGTTTTGTGTTGAACAAATATTTTAGGAAATCAGTGACGCTTGACACGATTGACACGGTTGTCGCTCACCTGACATCGTCAAGTGTAGCTAATTGTGATATTTCTCCAACATTCCGAGGAGACATTCGGAGAACTCTTACTTCAAATACAATATTGCGAGGAAAAGAGAAGAGTTAAAGAATAAAAATTATCTTAAAAAGCATTAAACAAAATTATTTGCAAATTTAAAAAGTTTTTAAATCTTGTTTTATCGTAAAAATTCAAATTTTTGACAATTTTGTCCGGTTTGTTTATTAATGTGGATTTTAGCTATTAATGAAAGATACAAAGTTATATACGTTCCACGTCACGTTGAGTAAGTTCAATCAATTTTTTTGCATATTCGAGAAATTTGACGATTAAAAAATTTTTTGTTTGGTTCTTCTCCCGATGACTCGCACGAAGCGAAGCACAAAAATGCCGCAGATGTCAGCTCGGACTCACACAGACGCACAGTCATCCGTTCGGTATTAAGTCAGACGCGTTTCGGAAAACACATTCAAGCCGACGTAGGCATTATCGAGCTCATTATCTTAAGCGAGTGATACATACTCTGAGCGCCCCAAAGCTGCGGGGACGATTGCAGTTCCGTCGGGCTGTTCGCAATATACGGAAGAGCGTAGGTTCCTCCGGTTCCGGTTCCGGCGTTCACACCGCCTATCGGTCGATATATCGATGAGCTGCAACAAAGAAATCTGTGATATCGTCACTCCCTACGTATAATCCCGTAACTCCAAAAAACGCAAATTTTAGAGGAGAGCAGTTTAAAAGAGTATAAAGCTTCATTATGTTTCCCTATAGTCAGGGATCTTTCGATTTCAAAAATTTGTACCTTATTTATGAATATTTTTTTTTAATGATGATTATATGGAGCTTCAAGAATTTTTAAATAATAATGAATTATGGCTATTGAAGCAGTAACACTGTTGTTGGAGTGTATATATTAAAATCCGTTTATTAACAATTGATAGTGTAATAGCATGAACGCTTTCGACCCTTGTATTAGGTCCTTTTCAAATGCATTTAAATTGAGTCGCGATTTCACCTTTGTAAAGTGTTGGTCGGGATGGCTAGTGCGGATACCCTTGATCAACATTGAGCGACGTTTTCTATCTAAGAAATTTAAATGCATTTGAAAAGGACCTAATACAAGGGTCGAAAGCGTTCATGCTATTATACTATCAAAATTGTTAATAAACGGATTTTAATATATACACTCCAACAACAGTGTTACTGCTTCAATATCCATAATTCATTATTATTTTTTTTAAATATTTGGTGACCATAAAGAACATGACTTTATAAGTGTCATTATGCAATAAACTGAAAATCCCATATGTGACACTTATGTAATTATACGTACACCGAAAAAATTATATTCTTGTAAGTAGAAGATTTTATACCTAAAAAATCTTCTTAAAGATTTTAGATGATATTCTTCTGAAATTAAGAATATATTCTTTATTTAAGAATATAGTCTTTTTCGATGGTGAGATATATATATGTTTTTCTATAGAGGCTTTTTATATTCTAATCAGTATATATTCTTATCAATATTACTATTTAGAGGATTTTCCTCTTAAAATAAGAAACTCGTCTTGGCGCCTATTTTAGTATAAAATATACTTAAAGTAAGTGGGATATCCTCAAAACAAGAATACAATTTTTTCGGTGTAGGGAGTGACGATATAGAGACACGAGAATTCGCGCGGTGAACTGCCGCCCCTAACTCGCGATCGGGTTGTGTCTCCCCGGCAACGCCAATAGCGAAGCAGAGATTTGATCTAAATCAAATGGCGCGAAAGGATTTGTTGCATGTGCGTCTCAGCGCGCGTTCGACTTTTTTTTAACAAAATTGTCAATTTATTGCATATTTGGAGATTTTACCTCACGTTAAAACACTGTCATTTAGCAATTAATTAATACGTAAATTAATTAACAGATATTAACAATCGTAACAAAATGAGAAAGTTCTGAGTTCTCTTTTGTAATGTTTGCGTCACACGGATCCGATGTGTGATAATATTTATAAAGACACTCGGTGTGTTGTTTTTCACCGAAGCTATTCGAGAGAGAAAAAAAAAAACTTTAAACACTCAATTGCTTAAACACGAAGAAGAGACAAACCGCCGAGACAATCACCTCGTGTGTGTTTCGCGCATGGATCACGTCTCGCGAGCAAATACGCCCCCTACCCATGGGATTCGGTTAGCGGCGCGTGCTGCATAAAATCGATCGTCATCGGATCGATTCGACACTCCGGAGAGTCATTTTTGTTTTTAATGCGAGTATTTTTTTTCTGTTTTTTCATCGCTAGTGTGTGTGTGTGTGTGTATGCGTGGGGCACACTTTGTCTCGCACACATGCCGATGTAAAACGGAGATTGCGAGGAACACAATCGTCTGTCACATCGATATCTCCTCAGGTTGAAGAATAAAATATGGAAGACGAAAAACAAAAGATAAAAGAATTAAAAAAAAAAAAAATATTGCGCAATGGAAAAAAAAACAATATGTACGAAAGCACGCAAGATTCGTCTCTCTGCGGATGATTTGCGGACACGTGTCCGCACGATCGATAACTACACCACCGGTGTGTGCGCCGGATACGAAGTCGCCGATCCGGAAACACCGGAAGGAAGGTGACCATTGCGGGAGAGCGCCGTAACTCTTTACAGTGGTTTGATTCTCGAACAAAATGCGGGCACGTGCCGATGGCGGAACACACCCTTAGTTTTTAAATCGTCCGTTGCTAAGAGAAACCTCCGCAAAAATGTCAAGAGAGACACGGGTAGTCCATTAACTACGACGTTACCACGAATTGTTGTTTGTATCTGGTTTAGATTAATGACCCACTCGAATTCACCGTTTGGTTTCTACCTACTTACCTGAAAGAAATGGCGAAAAACTGCGCAGCACTGTGACAAGTGCGCGTTGACAGAATTACGATGCCACTTTTAAGTGCGTCTTTTCTTCTCAAAGGGACTTGTCACGTCAATGATCAAAGAGAAAAAACCTTTCGGACTGCATTCCTCTCGAATGCACAAAAGCCGGTCGATGACGTGTCTGACGAGTGTGTCTACCTTTATCCGAAGACGAACCTGTACCTGTGTTTAGTCACGTTAAATTATTAACGTCTATCGAGAGAGTAAAGCCGAAACTTTATCACCCAAAGGAAAACGAAACGAGATTGTTCGCATTACCACCAGAGTTTTCTCATACAATACCTTAGTTTATTTTTTTTGTGTTTGTGTCGCGAATGGGTTACAAAACATTTGGTTGTTTGTGTCAAATTATCTCTTTTTTTTTTCCGAGAACGAGAAAAATCTCCCAAAAATTTTATTCGATCTTTTTTTTGTTTTTTTTTTTTTTGTGTTTTTTATTTTCCATCAGATTATTAGATTTGTCTCGCGCATTTTGCGCACGTGTTAAATAAAAATTGAATTCGCACGCGGCGAACATTTTTTGCGTCATCTGCGTGCGGATAAGAGCTTCTTTTCGCGTGCAATTACACGGCGGAGGAATTGCAATTACGACCGTGCTCGTCGGCGTGCCACGCGCGCAATTGCGCGCACGTGCGCTTTATCTCCGAGCGCATTATAACGTGTTCCAAACAAGGTAAAGAAGCGACCGGCTTAAAACAAACGAAGCCATCGCTCGTACGTTTCCGATGATGTCAATACGGATGCGGCCTTGAACAGTCGCCCGGCGTACCGAGCACGTTTCTGCATACCGGTACGTGTTCGAAGTAACGTCTCTTTGCACGCTTGATCTCTCGCGATGTCGCCGATTTTCTCCCCTCTCCGAGAGATGTTCCTCAACATGGTGAAAAATCCACCAAATTAATCCGCCCGTTGGTCGACAAAGACGAAATATCGATAAAAAAAAAAAAAAAAAAAAAACGCGAGCGTATAATTTCGCTACGCACAAAGAAGCGCGAAAAGAAATCCGCGACGCGGATTAAATGCTGACCCGGTTTAATTCGCGCGTAAACAGAAATGCGCGAAATATCGAAATTAGAAGCGATTTTGCACAGATCGCGATGCTTAAACTCGAACAATTGTAAATTATTGCAACGATATGTGTGTAGATTTTCTTGAAAAAAAAAAAAAAAACCAATGCGCAATAAAATATCGGAAAACGCAAATACAAAAAATTGACGATTCGAGGAAACTAAAGGCGTTCGCATTTATTTGGACGCGCTCACATAACGTGAACCGGGGACTGGACGAAAACTGCGTTTGCAAAAGTGCACAGCCAGCAGCAGCGGTATAATATTAACTGCCCGATCGCCCGCCGGTCGAGTTGTGACGAAATTTGCAGGCGAATCGGGTAAACCCGACACCCGAGCGAGAGAGATCCGCTTGTCCGTGTAAAATCTGCTTGGACAATTTATATTTACGTTAGGATAGGTTATGACGTGAGAATAAAGCTGACGTCAAGAGACAATAATCGGACCGCAGGTGGAGATAAAATTCTAAAAAAAATAAAACACACGTTGTGTTTTGTTCGAAACGAAAAACATCCGAGAATACAATAGAATATCTTCTTGACGTATATATATATTGGGTTGGTTCAGAAAACCTCTTCGCATATTTTTGCATTAAAATTTTTATAACAAATTTTAATACGAAAAATACACTTTCCGACCCAACCCAAAATAAATATTCCGAAATAAACGCGATGTTCTGTGAAATTTTGCTGAGTTACGACTCTAAAATCTCTCTCTGTGCGCGCGCGCACAGGTGTGCGCATCGAAATCTTTCTTTTCGAAAAACATACGAAGCCGTTTTTGCGAAAATCGCTCCGCGCGTGTAATTTTGGAAATTCACGCGAAAAAATCTTGTTTCTGAACAATATATTTCCGCCGGTATTTGTTTCTACTTGCCGGAGTTTTGGTTGCAATTACACGAATTCCGATCGCATCCGTGAGTTTTAAAATTGAACCGCGCGCATATCCCGTCCATTTCCGATTGCGAGTGAAAACCGCGCGTTTTACACAGGAGTGTGCTTTTTGCGCCGACAACAGACCGATGAATGCCGTTTAACGGTGTCTGATTGTCTTCCGATGTCGTACGTTGGACACGAGCTTCGACGACGACGACGAGCGCACGAGGAGGATGCTTCGCTCTTAAGTGCATCGGCGCTAAGTACCGACATAAATAGTCCGAGCGTCCCCCGCGCGGTTCGAAGAACGGGACTGTGAAAATTTCCCTCCCGTGAAAAAACAGGTTACGCGAATGGTTTTTCGTACACGTATGGTACCAGGTGCAATCGCGCGCACGCGGGTACTTTGTAAAGCACTAACGGTGGGAGGGGGAGGAAAAGGAAACGGTATTAGAGAGACGGGCACGCGCTGTGCGCGTAATTGCGTGTTCCTCGACGCGCAGCGATGCGCCCGCGGTTCCGTTCGAAACGCCGCTAATGCGTTTCGCAATGTAAAACGGAGAGAGAGACGACGGCGTGGCGGAAGAAACCTTCCTCTCTAACAAAAAAAAACTATGAAACAAAGACTGTGCGAAAGCAACGGAAAAGGCGGGGGGGAAAAAAGATGCGCGTATACAAATCCGGACGGATTTCGATAAATATTAGGTCTACCGGAAAGTTCCGTCCGTTTTTGGAATAAAACAAAATACACATTTTTCTTAATTTTTCAAAAATGAGATATACAAATTGCCCTC